AATAAGGGCGCAGACACGTTGGACCTCGATGGCCTCAGCCAATTATCTGTCTCTGCTTTCCGACGGCTTGCAGGGAAGGTATGCAGCCAACCTGAGACAGACGCGTAAGAGAAACAGTATATAGTGATCGGCTCAACCAGCGTGGTGGACTTGGATGAATGTCGCCTGACAACTGGTTCTGGCTTATGATTAGTCAAAAAATCCTGTTCTGTTGTCCCAGTCTTTTTCATGCATGAGCTTGGAAAATCTACACCATGCTTGACGAAGAAAGAGACTCCGGAGTTCGTCATTAGAAAAGGCAGAAAATCTCAACGATGATTGCTTAGGCTTTCGTGTTAAAGTTTCACCGACTGGAGTGATTAGATTTTATTCAACCTGTACAAGGAATGGTAATTTGCGTGAAAAGTTTTCAGAATGTGTCCTATAAAGAAGGCGGTATAATATCAAAAAGAATAAAAGTGAACTGAGCATAGCGGTCTAAGCTGATGCATCTCGGGACACCAAATGTCTAAATGTAGAGGTCGCGCTGACACTTTTTTTTTCATTTTCTAAGAAGGGCGGCTGTTTACTAATTAAAAAAATTACTATGCAAGTTGTGATGACATAGTTAAAACAAAATAAGCAAATGCCTTTTAGAAACCTACCTCCAAGATTAGAAAACGTCGTAATGATAATGTGCTGAGCTGATGTAATCATCTGTGATGCTGATACAAAATTTATTTGCTGAACGAATCTACGATTTTATTTAAAAGCCGGTACCTATATATATAGTTAAAATAAAATGTGAATAATTGCAACATAGTAGCTATAGACTCTGTCATTACTAAATCGGCCTTGTAAACAACTTATGATAAGTAATTGAATTTAATTGATTTTATACCAGATTTCAGGAAAGTTGCATGTTTTTTGCCCAACTTCTCGGTCGTTATTAAGCGCTTATAATTTTGTGCAAATATGACCTTGAAAGGGTTACTAATAGCCTATGATAATAAACCCGCATGGCTAGTCAGTCTTGTACGTTAAATTATGACGATGTTTCACAACAAAATGATGAACTTCGAGCGTTGGAATGCATATATCCTGATGAGTTTACAGTTGTAAATCAGGATGAAAGGTACTTTCGTTCCATTAGTGTTGATTATAGCGATTAGGACCTACAAAATATGCATAACTTTGGATAATTCAAAAATGCCCTCTGTGATTTTGCGTTTTACTTTTTCTAACGGTTATCCGTCAGAAAATGGTCCAAAATTTGAGTAAGAACTTAATTGTTGCAACTCTGGTTTTTAGTATTTCAGCTCCAACTTTGCGAAAGGATCAGTACTCAGAGTTATTGCTGATCCTGCGTAATTTGTGTGAAGCGTCCGTTGGCACTCCTGTAATATACTCAATGATTGAAACTATTAGGTCTTTTCTTGGAAACCTATCGGACGGGGCTGATGTGGCCACACCTGATGTTCACGAAACTTCCGTAAATGCTTGTATCCGAAAATCAGGTGTTGAAACTATTTACACTCTGCCAAGCGTTCGTGACCATGTGGCTTCCGTGGGTCGGCGTTTACCGCTTGCGTTCGGAGTGATCTGCCCCACAATTTATCATGGTGACATAGTTACCGATCGCAAGAGTGTGTTTCAGGTAATCTTTTGGTTAACTTTTCGAGTTATTCCCTTTATGTCAGCCAATCACGACCCGGTTATATTCTTTCCCAGGCTCATTGCTGCCGGGTTTCATCTCTTCCCGAAGTATCGGCTTTTATCAGCACGGTGCTTGAAGACAAAAAAGTATCTACTGCAACTCACAATATAGCTGCTTGGTATCTCCGCACAAAGATAAACCCCAACGCGTCCAAAGCGTCGCTTGTTGCAGATTACGATGACGACGGGGAGGCTCACGCAGGTGGCCGTTTGCTTCATTTTATCACTATGGCTTGTGTGGATGGCGTCGCTGTCATGGTAACACTTATTATTCCGAGCAATTTTGCATTGAAAGGTCTATTAGATTGCTCAGTGTCAGCTTTTAATATTGGCTTCGGTGAACCGCAATATTTTTATGTTGCATCCAGGTTTGCTAGTTGTAAATGCATTAACTTCTCAGACTGGTATTTGTTTAGACTAAAATCTATTCCCACTAGCTTTGTGTCATGTACAAATCACTAGCCTGTTTAGTTTTTATCGATTTTGTTTACGTAAAAGTAATTCTGTTCTGACAGTTCAGTGGGTATTTAGCCGGAGTTATCGGATGCAGAACTTTTCACCATTGGGTAAAACGCTCAGAAGAGCCGTATGTGATTAGTCGACCAGTAACTCCGTCACAGTAGACACATGATCTGCTTACCCGTTTTAACATTTTTAAAGCCACTTCTAGGAAGCGGATGCATGTTTTTACGGGCTTCCACTTTTATCTGCAATGAAGAGGTAATAAATCCTTGGTGTAAACGCCGACTCTATTCGCGTCCAAATGGGATGCTGCAACTCTGAAGTAGTACACGTATTAGCGACAGGAACGAATGTGTATTTTAGCCTTATTGTAGGGAAGTTGTTTCATTTGTAACCTTTAACATCCAAGCAGAGAACGAACTGTAACTGGCGATACATCCCCACTCACAAATTAGATTAACGTAGCTCCTGGCTATTCATTGTGATTACGTACTCTTTCTTTTGTTAGGTCACGAGATGGTTTGGTGGAATTCACTTGGGGCCTGACAGATTCAGACACATTAACAATGCCGCCAGCCAGCTTCTAACACAGCAGGGACTTACAAAAGGTACCGCAACCATTCCCAGTAACCAAACAAAAACCAAAGACCGAGTCAAGAAAAGGAAGTAACCATCCTGTATTGTCTTCATTTTTTGCTTTGGCTCTTGAAAAAATTATCAAGTTAAACATGTAGTTGTCATTTCCAAGGAAAGTTATATGATTGATTCGGAAATACCAACCATTCACCTGTGACTGGCGACTTTCAGATTTTTTATACGGCCTAAACAGGTCCTTTTTACCTCATTATATTAAAATATGTAACTTCCACTAGCCTCTACTCAATTGACAGCATAAGAAACAGCTCTCGGAACCTTTTCCTGATGAATAGACAGTGATTAATGTTGACAGGTTATTTCTCGGTTTGTGTAAATAACTAACAATTCTGTAGTCTGTCTTTGAGGCTACATCCACCTCCCTGGCTCTCAAATTACATGTTTATTAAGTTTCATTTGTAGCCCGAATACGTATTCCTGCCTAAAAATAATCTGCTCCCTTACAAGAGGACCATCACCTATCTATGGATGAACGCAATCAGGGACGGCGCTTGCCACTTGTGATGTTGCTTATAAGAATTCAAGTTATATAAGCGCAGAACTTGCTGTCCGAAATGAAGAGCGACCTCTGAGGTCGCTCACGTTCTGATGGCGACTTGTTCACAATTCTGCAATTTGGCTTTGGACCGTTTGGTCTAATGAACGTCATTTCCCTAGCACACGGTTTAGTTGATGTGTTAAGAGTACGTACGCCATTTTCGTGGCCCCTGTTTGTATCTTATATCGGTTTGAGCTTTATCAATTATTGTCTCACTAGAATACCATGTGAAAGGATAGTAAGAAGTGTGATTGGTGTGTTTCAGGAGTAATTAACAAGGAACAGACAAAAACGTATCTATGTGATATGTCCACAAATAAGATTTAGGATCACTGATGAGATACCTCATTCTCATGGCCATAAGTGATTGGGGTCAAAGTAGTGGGGCAATATAAACAACAGTGGAGCTAATTCTCTGGAGGAGGCAGATTACATCAGCGTCGTTGATGTTCTTTGACGTCCATGTCGGCGAAAGGTGGTAGTGTTGTTCCTTCGAAAGTGCCTGCTCCAATACTTGCCGTGAAGATTCGAAAGTGGAGCTGCCACAACGAAATCTGTCTTGATGCACTTAAAATAAGTTAACTCGTCGCTTAAGGTCGTTGCGTTTCCACTCTGGCAGTCGATAAAATGCTACTCGGGAGATTTTGAACACATTTTCAAACTCCGCATTCGACAAGTACATCTACAAGATAGGGGTGATACACAGTTTGTTCTGGGCGTCTTCCTGTTCTGCATAACTGACCTGGTGAGCGTTCCACACAGACAGTTCCACGCTAGTGGTTCTACTTGCCCATAAAAACACTTTCTGACCGGGACTATCAGCTCAGAATGGCGGTGGCTATGTTCAAACTTTGGGGATTCAGGAACCCCTTATTCAATCTTAGGTTATCGCCAGATTCGATTTATAGGAACTAGTCAAAATCAGGATTTTGACCTACAATGAATATTTACTGCCGTTTTTAAGAATAGCAAAAATACTTCTTGCTATTAAAATCGTGGGAAAAGTCTTACTAAATTGCCAAACAGACTGATTACAAAGAGCTACTATTTCGTGGTGCTTTCGGACACATATTTTCAAGTCTCTGACAAAGGGTGAGGTTCCGTGCGGCTTACGCTTCCACACATTTACAACGGTTCCCTTCAAACCTGATTGGGTTTTGTGCTAGCGTGTGAAGTCAGAATGGTTGCGCGCGCGAAAATTATTCGTACTTTCCGTCCCTTGCGGCCGTACTTACCTCTAGTCTAGTGCGGTCAATGCCTCTTGGTTGTCGACCAAGACTCGTCACAAGGTCCTTGTAGGCAATCTCCTAAAAATAAAACTGCCTTAGTACTACAAATGAGACAAAATCAGACGCTTTAAAAAACACGATCGAGCAACGCTGTTAGCCAGCGCCTACATAAACCCTTAAGAGTTCCCCGATAACCATAGCTAATGAACAACTGATTAAATGTTTAATTACGGAATTGTGTTAAAATAATCTCATCATTTAAACCCCGGTACCCTAGATCTCAGTATGGTGCACGCTGGCAAGCTTCTATATGGAGTTAATCAGATTAGGTGGGACTTGAAAAGTTCTTTATTGGGACGAAATCAAACACCCACTATACCTACCACCGTCTACTACTGATTCCACGCCAAATGTTAAACCCTCTTGCCTCAAAACTAATAATGCTGGTAGAAAAAAACGTGAGGGGCACAGATCGGGTTTTTTAGTTCTGGTCCAGGAGAAAGCTGCTAGATAACCTCATCCACAAAATACCAAAGTATAGCAGAAAGGCGACGAATAGTAACGCCTTGTGTTTCATAAACAGTGATCATAGTTAAACAAAGTCCAGGTTTTCAAATGGCACAAACACATACCTTGTAGGAATTTAAACTCAGCCTCCATGATACGGTGCTACCGATAGTGAGGTGAAGACAAAATCAAGGATTTTGGAATGAGGTCAAATATACTTTAAGTGAAATTTATCCTCCTCACTAAAAGCATATAAAATTTGAAAAAAAGTTATCGAGATTTAATGGGTTTTGGAGCTGGCCAAGTCTACATAATGCAATCAAGAGGCCTGTGAAAGGTAACTAAGTGAATTCCTGGTTTTTGTACAAAGTACTCGAGGAGATACGTTCCTAGATTTACTTGCCTTTGAAGGGGCGTCTTGTTTCGTGGCTAAGTCATACGGAGCTGGTGAGCAAATAACGCTTGGAGATGAGGCTAAAAGGCTGCTGCCGAAATCGCGATTGGAATACAAGGCATCCCCGTTTACACACAGTCCATTCACACAAGTGGGAGACAAATAAGACTGAATCGAGTCACCTACAAAGACGACATAATTACTAAAATACATTACACTAGTGAGCATATAACGAGGCCTAATGAAACCTACATCCATTGACTCTAGGTCTTGAGTCCTCCCCTTGAATTGCTTCATTCTTATAATCGTTGCTGTGTGAAGCATCACGAAAAGAAGACAAGTGGGAACCCAGAATGGTTGAAGAATTCGTTGATGCCACTGAAAGCTGGCCAGCGATGTACCCCGGCCTAAGAGCTGAAACGTTATCTTGAAATAAAGAAACAGAACAAAATCAAGTAAATGGTAACAAGAGTCGAAAAAGGTTACACTGGTCTTAACGTAACATATCAATTCAAGAAACGAGGGTCAGCAGGCGAATACAGTATGCTAGGATGAAACGCTCACACCAAGTACCACAACAATAAAGGCGTAACAGAGTTCGCCTTGAGTAATTACGCCTTAGAGGCCACAATGTGGCCTTGGAAACAAACACACCGTGTACAAATTAAGGGATGTGTTCAAAGTAAACCGATTGTCTACAAACCCATATGCAAAGCAAATACGCCGGCCACTTCACAATCTACCCGTCGCTGACAAAGACACAACTAACGTGGTGTTGGGGTATTTGGAAACAAGGCATGGGCATGAATGCGATCAATCACAATGACTTCTTCACGGCCCTTGTGGCAGCTCGTAGGGGCCTGTGTTCTGCGGAACATAACAGCCTTCTAAATCGAGATTCAATAGTGAAAGATTTAAGGAAACGCCATGAAGCAGGTCAGGCTGTGCGAATACACCGTTGCAGCCATTGAACAAAGCCGATTTAGCAAACAACTTTGGAAAAAGTACACTTCAAGCAGGCCGAATCTTCTTTGTGTCTTGACTGAGAATCGCACTTGTATAGATCTCTAAGTCATGGACCATCAGATTCAACTGCTACTCTGGATAAGTTTATTCTGCGAGAGCTTCGATTTTTTAGAACAATGTGGATGTTAATGAGTCTGAATCAAGTTGGAGTAACATAATCGTCATTCAATAAGGCTAAAACGATAGCTACAGAAACGCGTAAATGATTAAAATAGAATTTACTATCCCTGTCCTTTTTGGAACCAGTCAACAGCGTCGCTGATGTCTATGGACTGGTTGTAGGGAAGTGGTCGAAAGTGATGGCTAGTCCCGACTTGTAAGGTCAGGGGACAATTAAAAGACATTTATTGGGACTAAGAAGGTGTGTTGAATTAGAAAGACAGTAAGTGGTACAGGGGGTGATCGATGAGACGTCATTTCCGAACGTCAACAAAGAGGTATGCATGACGATTAGGGGCATTGAGGATGGGATATTGAAATTCTGCAGACTTAATTAATATACAAGAGGCTGAGACTGAGGAAGAGAGACCACAATCTACTGGCATTAAATATATTACACTTGGTGGCACGAAGCTGCCGGTCCGTGTTACGCACTTAGCAGTCTGTCGGTGTGAAAGGAGTGGTGCCAACACCGTGATCAAAGTTATTTATTTGCTGTTTGCCTAAAAGGTATTTACTAATTCAAGTCCAATTCACGAAAAATGGTACAGGGCTGCATTATTATGCTTTAAAATTGACCCCACCAACTGTTAGGATCAGAACTACAATTAACTTATGAAAGTAGGCTGGTTCTTGAGTGAGATATCGAGTAAAGTAACGGCCTGGGGCTCCAAAACTGAATGCGGCATTTTCGTGGAGATTGGTAATTAGACATTCAGTTTGATCGTCACCCCTCAGCCATTAGCGTTGCCAACTACGGCTAATTAATTTTCTCTCCCCAGAAAATTAACACCATACAATTCGATCCAGAAAAAGCCTGACTTACGGCTCAGAAAGTCTGATTATAAAATACTTCAATCGGTAGGCGATCATGGGACAAAAAGGTTAGCTTTCTAAAAATATATCCAAGTGGAAGACGATGAAAATTTTGAGAAAGAAATCCGGTTCTCATTGCAAAAAATAATCAGACGGTCTAAACTAATACGAAACATCGTAAAAAGCCGTTATCGATGGAAAGATTTGTGTGATTGAGTGTGTGAATAATCAAAGTCCACATACTCACTGCCATTGAAAATTTACTTTAATAAGAAAATATAGATGGTAGCGATATTAGTTCAAGACAGCTTAGTTGAAGCAAAAAGCACGTGCCGAAAACACAATATCCATTTGCAGTCATGAAAAGCACTAGTAGAGCTGTGCATGACCATCTGCTTGAATGTAATGAGGGTTGATAGCACAGAGCTGGAGTGAGAAAAATCTCCCAACTCCAGAGAGCTTGTCAGCACACGGAGCTGAAGTGACTACGAAACAACAATACCAAATCATTTAAGGCGTCGCTGACAGATATGTGTGATTGGGGAGGGGGGGGAACAAGTGCTTGTAAACATGCGGATATACATGCGTTCTTACGCGATGCAGTTTGATGATTCGGACGACATTGAGACTGGACACTTGCCGGCCACACACGGTTGCCCAGGTTCACCAACTCCAGTGAATAGCCCAATCGATGGGGACTCACCGAGTTCCGTTGGATTTCTCGCGAGGGGGCTACGTACACATGCACAAACATATTGTGAGGTGCAAAACCACCGTTGTCTTGTTTTGTCAAATGTTTTATTAACAAGGAACACTGTAGAGACTTTAAACATTACCATGGGTTAGCCTTAAAACTACGCTTAACCATGTTAACCTAGAAGAGAAACAGACAGGTTACAATGAAGCAAAAAATGCATGGGACAGAGGGCTGAGGATGGTAACAGGTAATGAATCAACAGCGACAGGAAACTGTTTTCATTAATTGTAATAATTTTATTACACTTAATTACTACTCCGCGCAAGAGAGAAGACAGTGAATTTATCCGTCCAATCGAAAAGGAATGATTATTATTGATTACGATCGCTCATTTTGTGGGGAAGAATGAAAGCTGCAATTCCGTATCAAAAATTTGCTATCATGTGATGTGAGGAAAAAAATAGCATTGATCGTTGAACGATGGTAACGTCCGCTTTCTAGTTGATTGCGTCCAAGTAGCCAAAGTAGTGAACAACTTGAGAAAAATTAAGCTGCTAGTAGAGAATAAGACGGATACACACTACAAAGACGGCAACAGTAGGGAAAGATGGGAAAGGCTACGGGTGAAAATAGTAGTATGGCTTGCACGACGGACTCAGTAGGTGGGCACTTTAGATGACCCACGTTGGAAGCATTGCTCTTAGACTCAAATCGGAGACAAGACCGTAGACGAGGGAGTCTGCATTACAAGTTTACCTAGTTTTATTACCACGTAGTCTCGAAGAATTAATGGCACGGTCGACTAAATACGTTCCGGGTGCCCAATCGGTTTAGCTTGATCCAAGGACAATTCTGGTAGCCTCAAATCAGTCATGACCACATTGCTGGCATTTGAATACGGGTGAGTGTTATTTATGAGAAAACCAAAGTGTACTTCGACAAATATTAATTCAATGGAACTTCGGTAGTTGTGAAATACGAAAGACCTCATAAGGATGTATTTTAAGGGGGCCTATAAGCGTTTGAGAGCAATAATGTATGCGGAATAAATTTGCCTCACTACTTACACATCGAGCAGGGCCCACTAATAAATATCTTTAAGAAAGTACATAAATATTAGGTGCTAAATGTCGTTTTTGGTTAGCATTTAATGGAAGGTTGTGGGAGGTAGGCATCTTGGTGCCAAAAACTCACCGATTAAGATGTTAGTGCAGGTTCCTTAATGCACATTAAATATGTCTACCAAAGACAATTAGAGAATAAACAAGCTAAGAAAGCAAAAATAGTAAACAGGACCCAGCAAACGGCAAAAAGTAGCACAAAAAAAAACAAAAATCACAACAATCATAATTTCAGTCATCTGAAACTTTAACGATAGGTAATGGATCAAAATCGAGCGAAGAAAATGTTAGGTAATAATCAACAGTCAGGAAGTAAGGGACACTTACATGCAAAGTTGTGAGTAGTGTAACGAGTTTTGTATGGAGGCTCGACTTTGGCATTGGGACTTCGGGAGGACGAAACGGGATCGGGGGCACGCAACGCCCTTGCCTTCTCCTGAAGAGCCCGCTCTCTTTCTACTAAAATAGCCTAGTAAAAAGATATTAGAAAATTAAGTAACTCAAAACTTGATCCCAAATACCGATGTAGACAGAATAGAGATCCACAGGACGCATTATCTAAAGCGGCTCCGCAATTAAAAGATACTAAAGTGAATTTCAATAAAATTCAAGAACATCACCAATTTCCAATCACGAACACATCCAGCACTTTTTCGATTAACTTGATCTCCTATTTCAACTCAACTTTCGCACTGAAACAATTGATCCTTCGTGTCACCAAATGATTGACATTAACTCCCTAGTATTCACCAACACAACATTTGAATAAACACAATTAACCAAAACTACACTAGATGGCATCCAATAATTAAATTTTGCCTTAGATATTCACAATCAAGCTTCAACCGAAGCTAGGGCCAAGGTTCCATCGAGGTTACATAGGTGCAAGCAGTTGCTACTGGGCCGCAAGCACGTATGCGTTTAAGGTAGGCGTTGGACACCCCTGGCTACTAAGTCGTACTATCTGGCATTAAAATTAACCAGGAAGCAGTCTTATCGAAGCCTGACCCGGATCTATCCATCTTCTTTGTAAAGACCAGTCAACCGGTACCCTAAATTCGCCTGACCTAATTTCT